CGCTGATAATAACCCGGAAATTGAATCCATTACAAAAATTACACGGGATTCAAAAATAACACCGTACTTTCTATTCCTTCACAATTTCCAGGCGAACTTTTTCCTACTATTAACCCTAATCAGCAAATTATGTCCATTATTCCGCGCGATTGCAAAGTTATTAAGAAATCCACAGCGTTTCCGGATCTATTTAAGTTGGAGTTTATTGCTTCCAACATACCGGCGGACATCAACTTACTAAGAGTCAAGGAGGCATGGCAGAAGAAGACCACCTTAAAGGAGGAGTTACTGAAAATAGGAAAGTACTGGGCCCAATATGCCAATGACCTGTCACTAAAGGACGATTGTGTGTGGTTAGATGGACGGCTGGTCATTCCTTTACCACTACAAGTCCCAATCGAAACAAGGATACACTTCTACCATCACGGGAAGAGTAACATGTTTGAAGCAGCGCATGATGTATGGTACCCTTACATGTACCGCAGTTTGGCAGCGAATGCCACGTACTGTCAACAGTGCATGGATGCGGGTAAGAACTTAAAAACGTTGTTACCCAAGGGAGACGTAGTGAAAGTCCCTCAACCAAGGGAACCGAATGAATATCTACAATTGGGTTTCTGGGGGCCAATAAGCTACTTAAATGAAAGTAGGAAATATGTCTTAGTCTCTACAGACCGTTTTTCGAGGTGGCCATCAGCGATGGTTACTACCACCAATACTTCAGGTAAAGTTTTAAAATTTCTCGATGAATACATCACTCAACATGGAGTAACTTGGAAAATACACATTGATCAGGGATCTTGTCTTACATCTAATAAATTTAAAAGCTTCTGTAACAGCGAAGGCATCGAGTTAGTTTACTCCCCAGTGAATGATCACCAGGGTACGGGTTCAGTGGAAAGAACGATAGGAAGCTTGAAGAATTTTGTCCTCACTTATGCATCCGAAAAAAAAGCATAAACCTCTGGAATCTATGGTCGATGAAGCGCTAGGCGCGCTACGGTTTTCCAAAAAAGCAACGAATAAGCTAACAACTTTTGAAGCTCATCACGGCCGGGAGGCGAACACCGTTTTACGCAATCTTACGAAAAAACCGAGCCTGAAAAATCTCAATTGGGAGAACGTCTTAAAACAGAAATGTTTGTGTTTAGACGAAAATGACCCTGAAGTGAACACGATCGCGTTCCCAAAGCATTCAAACTGGTAGGGGAGGTCGGATCTGGTTAACGCTCCGGCGTTAAGAAAGGTACCGCTAACTCTTGATAGCGATCAGCAGCTGGAAACGCACCAAGGGGAGGAATCGGGGGTTGAGCCTAAAATCCAAGGGAGTGGAGATGCAAGCAATCTCTATCAGCGTACTACCAGCAGAACTTTAAATTGGTATAAACTCTTAAAATCTAATGTAATCTCTGAGTCTAAACAAGCTGAAAAACGGGTCTGTGATTAGGAAAAGTGCCGTGGCAGTAAAACCAAAGAAGACCCTGCCAAAAAAACGGAAGCCGGCCACACTCAAAGAAATGCAACGTAAGCTGGCCACACTGCGAAAAAGGGGGCAATAGAAAGCCCAAAATCGGAGCGGCCAAAAGCTAAACAACCAGTAGCGGTAGCCACATATCAATCTGAAAGCTCGGACAGTGAGGATTACCAGCCACTCAAGATTATACCAGCACAACTACCAGTCGAAATTTCGGAAAGGCATGAGGCAATTGCGGCGGGAAAAGGACCAAGTAGCAGCAGAATAATTCAGGAGGAACACGGAGCGGGAACAAGGGTGAAAACTAAAACTACGAAAGTAAAACGAGGGAAAGGGAATCAGGACAGACCGTCGTTAGTTGCGAGAGAATGTCTTACAAACAGCAGCCAAGAGGAGGACGTAGAATCAGGCAGTCGAAGTAAAAGCTCGGGAACAAGGAAAAGCACAAGAAGAAGGAAGCCCTTCGATAAAATGGGAGGAGTAATGATAGACAGTATCCATGGGGTGGAGAAGAAAGGAAAATATCCCAGGGAAGGAAACAAGTAAATCTTAAAACTCATTAAAACTCGTGACCCAGGGAGAGGGATGGCCATAAGCCTAAAACTCAAAGTTAAAGTTTTGATGCGTTAGTTGCGGCGGCAGGTTGAAGGTCATTACGCATTATTTTAATTTTAAATTACTGGGTATTTAAATTTTACATTTGTACGGAATTTTGAGGGGCTTCATATTTAGATGTCAATCATTTCAGTTGCTATCCATTATTATTTATATCCTTGAGAGTTCTCATACTATAATTAAGTGTGAATTTGGTACCTGCCTGTCAGTTAGTCTAGGTCTGTCTAGCTGCTATGTGTTGACCTCTAGTTCAGTGTCTTATTTATGCGAATTAGAAACCAGTTGAATTTAATCTTCAACCGTATCGTTTAACTAACCCTTGTTATTAGTCTTGAATATTTTTTTGCATTCGAAATATAAAAACGAAAAGCAGCAAAAAAGCTAAAACCGTGGGTTATTTTTGTTTTTTCTTACCTTTCTTTTTTTGCTCCTGATATAAAATCGGTTGTTACAAAATGATACCAACATCCAACACATAAAGGCAAAATATAGCGAGAAGCTCTAGCAATTGTAATTGCTGTGACAAAAATGAAGCAGCGTTTACTTGGTCTAAGTTCATTTGTCAAAGATATCATAAAATCTTGTACTGTATATTTGGTCCAGACATAAAGATACACAAACGGTAGTCAGCCCGATTAACCAGATGGTCTATTGTTCTGGTGAGGATCAATTGTAAGCAAAATTGCATGCCAGAGGAGCAGATTTAACAAGCAGATGGGTAAATTATACTGGGTTTTGAAAAAAAAAAGCCAGAAGAAGAGATGATCAAATTTTTCTACAACGATTTTGTCTTCAGAGACACAAGTAATCTCAACATTAACATTATCAGAAGCCATCATCGAGTAAAATGGATACATTAAGCTCAACTGATGAGAACCGATTGAAGATTGCAGTCAATGCTTATAAGATCGTTGCCTGTAAAAAGTATTAGGTGGCCTGGAAAGTCACAATGGTACATGATGGCCTGAAAGTTAAAGAAAGTCTTGTTACTAGATGCGAAATGTACCAAACAAGCACAACGTCGCCCTGAAAAAACAATGACAAATTGGCCAGAAGCAGAACTATGGGAACAATTACATGTGTACGGAGCACAAATTAGAAACAGGAAAACTATTTACTCGTAATTTACGGAAGGAAAAACTGGAAGAAGTTTTTCCAAATATTGAAGAACTACTCCGACACTCAAAGAATTTAGAAAATCAAATTTTTCATAAAAACTTTTCAAAAACGGCAATCCAAATTTTAGCGTTTTTCAGCCACTAATAATGAAACATCGAAAAACCTCCAAAATGAAAATGAAAATACTGGCAGACCTTTTTCTTAGGAAAAAAATCAAATTGCCTGTATTGGTAGAGTTTGACTTTTGCAAACTTTTCATTCAAGTCAGAAAAAGACATTACCTCTTCAATTGAACCATTTTTTAAACCAAAATATTTTGTCAGCGAAAAACTGATGTTGCAACTCAGTTCGGTGAAAGAAAACATTATAAAACCACATTTATACGACAAAATCAAGCTACAATTTGCGGTTACAAATTGATCAATGCGGAGATCCTATGCCTGCGGTTTTTAGAACAAAAGGGAAGATATGATGACTTAGGACTTCAAACTGTTTAAATTTTACGTGATCTATTGAAATTAAACTCGCGGAGGTCATAATTTACTTTTTTGTTTGTTTCATTATCATCAGCTTGGGTTTAACCAACTGATGAAATATCTTTTAAGGGATAAAAGAGAAGCGTTAATAAACTTTCAGGAGCTTGTTATTTAGGGTTCCTTGACAGTTTAAACTGAAAATTAGAATGAGTCCGGAAATCAGACTCCGCAACAGTTGCGTTCCAAATTAAATTGAACTGCCTGAACGAAGACCAATTTTTCTTGACCCTGATGCAATTTTTTTGAGTTTTTTCAAATCCTAATCGCGGCTCAAATGGTTTTGATATGATAGCACACTTGATCCTCTAACAGTTTTTCTTAAGATACCTAAAATCAATTGGAATAAAGAAAATTATATAATAACCTGGTCAGAACCAGCGAGGGACTTACTAAGACTTACTAAGATAAAAAAGGATCAAGTTAAGATCCCCCCCCCCCCCCCCCAAGATAGACCAAGTTAAGATCTCCCACTGCAGCAGCATTTTATTCGAATTAAATATGTTTATAGCTGTGTGTGAAATGCTCAACTGTGATTGCCTGAAAATTCGTTAGAATCAAGTTAACGTTTCAGGTTTGAGGATGTTAGCTTGGTCCGATACCAATCAGATTTTAGATAACTTTTCAGGAAACTTCTGACAACGTGAACCACAGTTTTTTTTTTATCAGAATGCCCTAGAAATTGTTCATGTGTTCTATTGTGCTACAGCATCAGCGGGGTGCGCAGGAACTTTGCGTGCGGCGGTGTTTTTGAAACAGTTTCGTATTTTTTAGCGACCTTTCTCTTCTATTTTTGTTTTTCTAAACTTTTTCTTTTTATTTATTATCTGTGGTCAAAACATTTTGTTTCAGTTGTTTTTTTTGCGATTTTTTAAAACTACTTTGTCATCTTTTTTTTGGAAAAGAAAGACAAATTTGAAACAAATTGCAAATTTCGACACGAAATAATATAAAACAAGATAAACCGTTGCAAACCCACGAAAACGTTTTTAGATTAGTTTTTTATATGCCACAAGAAGCGCAGAAAAGTTCATTATATCTTATATGAAAGCCGGCGCTGAAAAAGTTTATTTTTATTCGGGTGGAATTAAAAGCGAGGCCCAAACGAACGTAATTCGTGATAATTTTTTTTATACAAACATACATTGTCATTGTTTGAATTTGAGTTAAAATCGGTTTAGTTATTTAAATGCAGATGCGATTTTGGGAAGCAAATCAGAGCTACGATATCGGATCTGGGAGTTTTATGAGAGTCTTACCTGTTGTTGGGCAATATGTTCAGAACTGCATAGTACAGAGTATAAAATGAGATAAGCAAATGAGGGATATTGTTTATTTCGGCTGATAAATTGGGCCAAACAAGAGCAGTCAAGTTGCCAGTTAAGCCATCCGTAAGGCGAGGGGGAGAAAGAAAAAGTGAACAAAATAATCTGTGGAGATACTTGAGGCGAGTGAAGGACTTTGGCCGACTAAGTTACCAATGGGGAATTTTTTCTGATTTTCTTACCAATGGTACGCTAGCCGCTCTGTTGAAAGGAAAAGCGGGAAATTCAGGTGGATTTAAAAATGCAAAATAGGCCACGCATCACTGATTAATATTCAAATTCGACCCATTCATTTGATTGCTAAGTTCGTTCATGATCATACATGGCGCCTTCCTTAAACAGACAATTTTCATCGACTGACGCAGGTTGGGAGCTAATAAAGAACACAAGCGTTACTAATCACAACCCAGTAGTTGGAAAAGTCAGTCAAGATCCAAATCGCGGATCAAGTGTAGATTATTCTTTTTATCTCTTTTTCTTTTATTCTATACTTTTTCCTTCTTTCTGCACTTTTTTCTTATTTTCTGCGAATAATCCTAGCGCATAAAGTGTAAATCCAGCCTGGAAATAAGTTATAAACTGGTGATTTTTGTGATGATTAGCGGTGTAAATGACTTATATCGATATTCTAAATTGCAACTCGAGTTCAGTTTCCATAATTCCTGCCTAGCTCTTGTTCCTGAAAGCGACTTGGAAGGAAAAGACTTGTATGGATGGGTTCATTTAAAAACCAAAATACACCAACTGCAGAACAGTCAAAATGGCAGAATTAGTGCAGTGCCCAACCAGTCTGTTTCAAGTAGCCGAAAACTCGCACTATTTTGTAAGCCAAACGATTGTGTTTACATGTAAATGGTTTACGATACTTCTCATTAGCATCAAAAAATGATGCAAATTCCACCTATTTGTATCCTTATTATACCAAAGCAACCTTAAAACGAGATAACATAAACAATTCGGAACTAAAGAAACCGTAGAAATTATTCAATGCCCAAAAATGTTAACTAATTTCGACTTATTGTCCTTTCTATTTGACATTCTTCTATGTTCATTTAACTGCTCTGAAAGATGGCGAGAGAGAGGGAGAGAAAAAAGGGGACGATCAAAGGTAGATAAGACAAGAGGAAAGCGTGTAGAAGCGATTCAGGCTAGGGGGAACAGGACCACGGGCTGAAAAGACACAATAGCAGCACCACCTATGGTAAGAAACAGTCGGCAGAAGTGCAAAAGAAGGAGGGTATATGAAAAGAAAAAAACCTGAGTGTATATTATGTATATGTAAGTCTACAAACGTTAAATAAACCCATTTTAACTTAATTTCGGGCCGTTTTTTTTTCAGGTTTGCAAAACACGTGGTGGCAGAAAGAAGAGAGACGATTTGGGACAGGGTTAAATTAAGCATGCAGAGTTTGTCTAAAAGGATTTTTGGTGCCTCAATGAAGCAAGTGACGTCGGAGTTTGTGCAAGGAAATTGGCAAGGAAATGGATTCGATATTTTCATGTCTAGACTATCAGCAATCATTGTTGCTGACATGAGGTTTGCAGGTAGAGCTAATTAATTTATGACCTTTAGATGATCAGTTTTGGCCCTTGTTGGTCGTTACCGCAATCTGGTTGACCACAGCTCAAAGATAGTAGTCGGCGTTTTTGTCAGACCTTTTTTACGCTCAGGAAGTTTCATATCACCAGCTAACAAGGACTATTACAAAACTTTCATCGTTTCCGCTGCTTCGAGGATGGGATTTTTTTGAATACAAGATGTTCTTTTTTCAGATTTATAGAAGCTGTTAAACACAATTTGGTATGCCTTTTAACGACGTATTGTGTATAAATTGATTTTTATTTAATCATCGACAAATTTGAAATTCAACAAGGATAGCCGGTTTCTGTGCAAAAAGCACAGAAGGTTCCGACCAGTCATGAAAAATACAAAAAAAAAATTTTTTCCTTAAATAAAAGTCGAGCTCAAAAACTAATCGAAAACGTAGAAATTTAATGAATTATGCATAACTGACAACAGTTGGCCTCGAAGAAAATGAAAAAAAAATCCAAAAAACTATTTAAATAACTTTTCAGAGAAAAATTTTTTCAAAAATTTGTATTGCCAAGAAAGCACTAAAAACTTCCAAAATTTTTATTCTTAAATTTACTACCTTTAAGAGGAAATTTTTTTATAAGTCATACTTTCTTAGTCCTATTTGCTATACACGCTCGGAGCTAGAATAAAATTCAAGAATTTCCACCCTGTTTTTCTCGACACGGGGAAAAAATTTTCAAAATTTTTATATGTCATTTGAATCAACACAGAAAGGGCTTTAAAAACATACATGATTCGACCCATTCCGGTAATGATATTTGCTCGAAATTGTACAAAAATAAAATAAAAAAATTCTAATCACTTTTCTCGACCCTGAAAAAAAGTTTAGAGATTTTCTTAACTTCAGTCAAACCAAGACTAAAAAACCTTCTAGCGATAAATTACTCGATCTACTCTGATGATCATTTCAGGAAACTGATTTTGCGTGGCAAACAAGAAGAAAGCTTTTAAAAAGTTTAAAAACAATCCAATGGGCAAACTTTCTTTCCCTTTTCAGTGGTCGGAACAACAAGATGTGCTCCGATTTTGCGTGAGAAGTCAAAAAATGATAACAGACGAGCAAATAAGGAATTGTTAAGAACACTGCTTGCTTAAACATAAGAAGTAGTGCTTTTTCGAAATTCTTTTGGGAATTTTTCATTTTGTACTTTATTAAAAAATGTTTTTTTTTTAATTTAAGACTTAGTGACTGTTTACTGATGAAATAACGCATTCGATTTCTGTAAGTCAATGGTTATTTTTTTGTCTAGACTACAAACAGTTCAAATCCCGGTTTAACCAAACAGCCATCTAAAAATCAAGTAAATTGCGCAATATTAAGTAACTTATAAAATAAGCTCTAATAATTGATTAATATTATTGAAGTTCCATAATCGATTTGTTACTAGGAGCAAAATTTATCACATTGACTTTAATGTGGGGTGATGATTTTCACAAAAAACCTCAAATTCAAAAAAAATGTTCATTTTTTATTTCATTTATTTTTTTTTCGTGTTATTACTGCTCCATAGACAATAAAAGACGAGAAGTTTTGTTGTATCTTACCTACATTTGGAATGTTTTTTGTGCTGCCCATGTTGACTAAAAGTCGCTATCTGAGATTTTATGAAGGAACGCATCGTAATCTTCTAATTTTGCACAGTTAGTTAATACCTGCTGAGCACAGAATTTTAAAAAGTTAGTTTCTGAATTCTTTTTTGCGATGCATTTGAAATAACTAAAATCTGAGTTTTTTTTTGTTTGCAGGTGGGGGGGAGGGGGGGGGGGGGGAGGAAAAAGAGCCAACAACTTGAGAAGACAAAGTTAACAAGACACCGGTTCAAAAAAAGAAAAATCACAATATAAATGAAGTCTCACTTTGAATGTTGCACGTGGCATAGAAGAAAAGTGATTGACAAGATAAGAACAAGAGCTGTCCAAATGGAAGGAGAAATAGTAGCAAGGAAGAGAACAAATATAGGGAAGGCAAAAACTAAGAAATTAATCAACTGAAGCAGATGCAAACAAGACTGCTTGTATATCAGGGCGAAGCCCTGAATATCCCGGCTGCACTTTAAGTCCAATTAAAAAAGTTTTTATTCAATAGTTGTAGAAGTAATTGAAAAAAAAATGAAAAATATTCTAGAGTTTTATTTATATTCCCCACACGCTAAGTAGGACTAAATTGCTGGTGTCAATTCAACTTGGAACGCAATTATCTCCCGGTTTTTCGCGTAAAAGAACGCAATATATCGCGCGGGTTAATTATCCCAAATTGTCAAAACTAGCAATTTTCAAACCACAGTAACTTAACGAAAAATAATCACAAGTGAAATATATATAATTTTTTGAACTTGAGCTTCGTACAACAATATCTTCCTAAAGTACGAAAAAACTTCAAGTGATAATGGACGAAATTACATTTTGCTGAATTAAACGACAGTGCAATCGGCATAGATAAACCTCACATACTAATGGCCTGGTTTTATTTGCCTACTTTGAGTTTTTGAGATTTCCCGGAAATTTTTGAAAACTCAATTTTGATTGGCCACCGTGAGAAGGCACCGCAATTTTCCTGAGACAGAAAAATCAAAAGAAATGGGAAAGTTAGTGATCAAATTTTACGTGTGGCAGTGTGATAAAATCATTAAAACATCAAAATTAACGGTGGCCAGTCAATAAACAGAATAAGTCCAAGAGCAGAAAAACAAAAAAAGATCAATTTTTATAAGCTTATGGGTAAGTTAAATATAAGAATTGTCAAAATTACCAAAGAAGCAATAGTTTGTGCATAATTTGAATAAATTGATCGAGATTTTTTAAAATTCAGTTTGGAAAAACTTGATAAAATTATTCGCCTCAAGCATATTTTGTTCATTTTCTTAGTATTATTGACGACTATAAAAATTGTTTTTATCAATTAGCCGGTATTAATTAATAAAAATTAATATTTTTCTGTTTTTTTTCGCTTTTGAGCCCATTCTGCTCTTGGACCATTCTGCTTTTTGCTCCACTTCCAAAATTAACGCGTGAACGAAGAGAACAAGAAAATCAGACAAACTTGCGAATGTTAAAACAATCTTTTATCCAGTTTAAAGTTAATTGAACCAAATTAGGTCACTTTTTTTGGAATCGAGATATGTCGAGAATTAGAAGTTTAAAAGAAAAGAATAAGAAACTTTGCGAATCAAAAAAGTTTGCGATGTGGACCTAATGCTTCTAAAATCAAACAAGGATAGCCGGTTTTTGTGCAAGAATCACAGAATGTTACAATAGTCTTTAAAAAATTCAAAAAAAAAGTTTTTTCAATTTGATGTCTTTTTTTCTGTGTGGTATGATAAGAAGTCTGAACGGACAAAGTGATTGAACTTTTCAGAAAGTTTTTGAGTTTTAAACGTTTGATTCCAAAGTTGGCGCTAAAAAGCTCCAAAAGCTTACTTCGCTCGAGTAAAACTAAGTTTTCACGGTAAATTAATCATAAACAAGCTTTTGTAAGCATATTTAGCCCCAACTTATTTGCTCGAAATTAGACCAAAAATCAGAAATTTGAAACTGATTTTTCTCGACACCGAGAAAAAATTTTCAAAATTCTAACTGTTCGAATCACGATTGAAAGGGTGTTAAAATATTATATCACTCGAACAATTCCGATGATTATTTGTGGTACCTGATTTTGCGCGGAAAACAAAAAAAGATACAAACTAAAGCACACCCGAAACAAAAATCCTCCACATTTTCCAAACGGTCGGAACAAAAATCCAAAATTATTGCAACCAAATTTATCCTGATAGTCCTTCGAAAGAAAGGCAATATTATCCAAAGAGTATCGGTCAAGCTCGAGGGGATCATATCGCAACTAAGGTCGTAAAAAATCAGTGAAGTGAAGAATACTATAATATCCAAACAAGCACAAACCATAAGAAGCAGCCAATCAAGGGAACACTCCAATACATGACATAAAAGCGAACCTTTTAAACTTTGCCCAATGCCAAAAACAGAAAAAAGATGAAGTGTTTAAAGAAGAAAACGAAAAATAAAAGGTTGCAAATATCGAAGTAGTGGTAGATCCCGCAGCCGCTAAGTGGCTACAACGCCACGTGAAATGGAGGCAGATTGAACAAAAACTAGACCACCTTGAAAGGGGGCATTTCTTGAAATGAGAAAAGTAAAGGCAGATAGTTTTATACAAATGAAAGAATATTTAGAAAAAATCAAGCTAAACAGATGGGGAGGGAGCATGAAAGTCTGAAGAGTCCTTGATTGATTTTGAATTGTTTTGCAATGAGACACTAGTTAGAGTTGCAACAAACGAGTGTTCAAAACAAGGAACAAAACTCTGACAATTTACATTTAGTCGATCCCATCTCCTTTGCCCGTTGAAACGTGTCGTGTCATAACTAAGCAGACCTTAAGCCTTAAGCGAATGAAATGCTCATCAACATGTTTTCAAGAACCAAAAAGTTAGAATGTTGGAGCACCTTGAATTTGTTAGCTGCTGAAGAACATTCTAAAATAGAGGTGGGTGGAGAAGCGCAGAGACAATTCAGCCACAGACAATTCAACCAATTTCAAATACAAACAAATCAGCCAAAATCAGCCAAATTTAGCTAAAGGCAATT